CTGTTTGCTTGGCAACATGACATACTGTACGCTGAGGTAAAGAAGGGAATAAAGCTGAAGGCTGAACCATCCAAATCCAGTCACTTTCTTCTGGTTTRCAGAGTTAACAAAGAACGTGGCACKCTTAGACAGGGTCCTTCGAAGGATGCTTTGAATTTGGACACAGACATTCTGTGAGACCGGCACCTTTTCTGTTGCTAAAGGCTGGAAGCAGCACCTCCACCTTTCTTTGTGGCTCAGATCATAGTTTCAACAAATGAAACACCTGTTGTCCATCCATCCATCCATCCATCCATCCATCCATCCATCCATCCATCCATCCATCCATCCATCCATCCATTATCTAATAATGAACAGATAATGGACACCTGTTGTGTTAAAGATAATTGTGTGTGACTGGCTACAGTGGTAGCATGGATGCTACAAGTAAAAGTAGCAGCAGGCAACAGTACAAACGATAAGGTTTAATGCACATATTTATAGGCAGAAAGTGCAGGTATAGGATCCACATGGTCCTGTGTTGGTCTTTTACGTCTGATTAAATTTCTGGAGTAGAAAATCTGTGGTTGCACTTTGTCTAGTCAAAGTTTTCCTCATTCCATCACTTGATCTAACTGTTTGTTGCTTGGAACAGTGTCTGGGCCCATGGTGCTGAAATACTATGTCCCTTGTTCGTTACAGCAGTGGTTCCCAAACCTTTCAGCTTTTGACCCACAAAATACCAGCAGCAGAGACCTGTGCCCCCAGCTGTTGTCGGCTGATAAACATAGTTGTCACAACAAACAAACAAGAGCATAATAACATTATTAATTACGCTATTTTTTTGTCCATTTTAAGTACACTAACCTTGCTTTTTTTGTAACAACAAAGGCAAAAAACAACTATTGTTAGTTATTTTTTTAGTGTAATTAATTCAGAAAATATTTTCAGGACCCTAACTTGATGTTTCGGGACCCCAACCTTGGGAACCACTGTGTTACAGTGTCTCGGTCTTTGGTGCTGTCCATGGTGCTGAACACAGCYACTGGATCCTTGGTGCTGAATACAGTGTTTTTTGTCCATATTGAATATTTTAGAAAAAGAATATTTTGATCCAGAATGGCAGATTTCAAAATGGTGGCCAAGTTCTAGACATGGTCCCCTCACCCATTACATGCTGGAATATTTCATTTTCCATTTCTTTTCTGGAAAAAAAAAATGGTGTTATTATTTTGAGTTTTTAGTTTAAAACATATTTTAACCAGTATTTTAAACCATGGCATTCCACTTCACAAATATTTTGTTTAAGAGACATTTTATTTCCCTTACTATGGTTGTTTTTAGTCATTAGAACTACGTGCTTTGAAATCTGAGCTTTCTTGGCTCTATAAGGACCTTGGAGTGAGGTGATAGAGTCTTTATGTAAACATGCATTAGTTGACTGGCAAAGTGAAGAATCTTCCCTGCACTATTAAAGCTGCATCAGCATTGCTAAGGAGAATTATAAAGATTATAGTATCTGACCTGACTGTGACTAGTTTGCAAACATATTCTGGTAGAGAGTCTCAAAATTATATCATAATGTTTGCAGTTGTTTTCAATNATGTTAACTAGCTAAACATTATATAATGTGTAACTCATCATTTAGCTAACATTATCTGCCTCCAACAGCATGACTCAACTTACATGGTTTGTTTGGTAAAAACTGTGTGAAGTTTTAGTTGCTCTTTACACCAGGAGGCTCTGCTCAGAAGGCAGGTGGTCAGAAAAACGTCTCCTCTCTGTCATCTGCAGAAATAGCTTGCGCACGCTTATGGTGCGTTCTAAGACGGCTCAGGAAAATGCATTACCACATGTTAATAATGGATAAAACAGCTGTTACGGCTGAGAAAAGTGCGGGGAACATAGAGCACAGATGCAGGAAGTGCGGGGACTCAGGGAGACATGTCCACGCATATCCCGCATCCGTTATGTCCGTGCCTTCACTGCCCAGGGCCCTTTAGAGACCGTGGGCCCCTGGGCAATTGCCCAATTGCCCATATGGTTAATCTGAAATAGGCCTTGTATATATATATATATACAAGGCCTATTTCATTTAATATTTTAGAAAAAGAATATTTTGATCCAGAATGGCAGATTTCAAAATGGTGGCCAAGTTCTAGACATGGTCCCCTCACCCATTACATGCTGGAATATTTCATTTTCCATTTCTTTTCTGGAAAAAAAAAATGGTGTTATTATTTTGAGTTTTTAGTTTAAAACATATTTTAACCAGTATTTTAAACCATGGCATTCCACTTCACAAATATTTTGTTTAAGAGACATTTTATTTCCCTTACTATGGTTGTTTTTAGTCATTAGAACTACGTGCTTTGAAATCTGAGCTTTCTTGGCTCTATAAGGACCTTGGAGTGAGGTGATAGAGTCTTTATGTAAACATGCATTAGTTGACTGGCAAAGTGAAGAATCTTCCCTGCACTATTAAAGCTGCATCAGCATTGCTAAGGAGAATTATAAAGATTATAGTATCTGACCTGACTGTGACTAGTTTGCAAACATATTCTGGTAGAGAGTCTCAAAATTATATCATAATGTTTGCAGTTGTTTTCAATKTTTTTGCAGAAGTCAAAAAGTCTTMCTATCCTGTCACCTAAATTTTGAATATATTCAAAAATGTGTGCAGTTTTGTTTCCTAGGAGGAGTCATGGGTATCTTCAACCTGTTGTAAACGAGCAAGAGCTACAGCATATTTTGACACTTGCATGGAGGCTTTACTCTGACAAAAAAAGCATGTTGAGTTTGGTTGACACATTACCTACCTACCTTACCTTACCTTATCTTACCTTACCTACCTACCTAACCTTACCTACCTACCTTACCTTACCTTACCTACCTACCTACCTACCTATCCAACCTACCTACCTACACCTACCCACCCACCTACCTACCTGCCTGCCTACCTACCTACCTGCCTACCTACGTACCTACCTACCTACCTACCTACCTACCTACCTACCTACCTACCTGCCTGCCTGCCTGCCTGCCTACCTACCTACCTACCTACCTACCTGCCTACCTACGTACCTACCTACCTACCTACCTGCCTACCTACCTACCTGCCTACCTACGTACCTACCTACCTACCCACCCACCTACCTAACTTTACCTGCCTACCTACCTTACCTTACCTTACCTACCTACCTACCTACCTAACTTTACCTGCCTACCTACCTACATACCTACCTACCTACCTACCTACCTACCTACCTACCTACCTGCCTACCTATGTACCTACCTACCTTACCTTACCTTACCTTACCTACCTTACCTACCTTACCTTACCTTACCTACCTTACCTACCTGCCTACCTACCTACCTAACTACCTACATACCTACCTAACTACCTACATACCTACCTGCCTACCTACCTTCCTACCTGCCTACCTACGTACCTACCTACCTACCTTACCTTACCTTACCTACCTTACCTACCTGCCTACCTACCTACCTAACTACCTACATACCTACCTAACTACCTACATACCTACCTGCCTACCTACCTTCCTACCTGC